GAAGGAAGATTAGGCAATCTACTTCCATAGTGATACCGCCTTGGAAACCCAAGGAGGGGTCGCTATGAGTTGGGTCTGACTGGACGGCAAATAACAACAACAACAACAAACCAAAAAGAAGGAAAAAAACTATAGTTACAGAACTTCTAAATGGTAGGGAAGTCAAGACAACTATAAGATACAACAGACTGTTCTAAACTTGGAAGAAAACTATAAATTACAGGGTAACCTCAAAACAAAACAACAACAACAAAAAACTGATACACTTTCACATCAAAATGAAAAAGAGGACCAGCAGAAATATTTTGTTGTTGCGGAGGGTCAAGGAAAGGTTTATATATGGAAGGAAACTTTGAGTGGGGTGGGGAAGGAACACTGGAAATAAATTAAAAAAAAAAAAAAGAGAATGCATGTCACTTTAGTTTTGTGGATTTCATTGTACATAAATTAAATTTCAGTAAAATGCACTAAAAAAAATTATTCATTTCACAATAATAAAATATTGAAACCAACATAATGCCTACCAATAGAGAACCAGTTACACAAATATTGGTACCTGTATACAAATCAAATGGTTTGCAGTCATATAAAAGAATGATACATAAGAAACTAATAGTAGTGGTTTTTTGTGGGGATGGGAGCTGAGAGGCAGAGATGAAAGGAGACTTTTCACTATTTTTTAACACTTCCTAAATATTGAACCAAATGAATGTGTGTTAAAGAAATTTCTAACATTCCAAATATGTTAACAATTGTTTTCACTCCACTCCCTAAAAAAACCCTACTTCTTGCCTAACCACTTAACACAAAATCCATTTCAAAGGATCTTTTACAATCAGTTAAGTACCCTGAAAGAAAGATGGAACAAAATTAAAAAGCAAAAACCAAATGCCAGTTAAGACTCTTAACAGACAAAAAGGCATTGTAAAAAGTAACACTTTCCATTCTTGAGCCATTTCTGGTTAGTTTATTTTAGATTATGTAGATTGCTTATCACTACATAAAAGAATTTCCAAAATCTGGTTCAAGTACTTTTTTACTTTTTTTTTTAAAGGGGGTGGGGTTGTCTTATTAATAAAGTACTGAATTTACTGGTAGATATTAAAGATTAAAAAACAAAACTCTAGAACACATTTTACTTCTAAAAAACCTAACATAAGACAACGTTGCCTTACTTGCTTTTTATTTGAGCTCTATAAACTTTATAGCAGTGAATCTCACTTGAAACTGTTACTGAAGGAAATTTCTAGATCCAATCAAAACGAGGTCTAAAATAATAGCATTATTCCTGAAAGGGACTCCTGTAGGTAATTTTACTTCTTATCACTGGTCTCCTTTTCTAAACAATTTTCAAATTTAACATCTCACTACTTTCTAGTAAAAGTATCATCAGTACTGACTCTCTTAGTTTCAGAATAAAGACAATGACAGGGCCCCTTGTCACCACAAAAGGAGTCTAGGGTGTTCTTCATTTGTCTCTTGATCATAATATGCACTAGGTATTTCCCCTACTGGGCAATTTGCTTCCTACCACAGATAGGCAAAATTCCTTCTCATTTGACTAGTGTCATGTTACCACAACTCGGTACTTATATTCCTATAATAGCAATGACCCTATCTTGCTGTACAGTAAACTATTTAACAACTGGAATGACCCAAAGTGATGTCAAACTCCTAAAAATTCAGGAAGTACAATAATCAAGGTAGTGGTTTCATTTTCTGATACTCATCTTCTACTTTGACTCTGGCCCTGAATAGGCCTTTGTTGAGCCTCTAAAGGGAATCTAGTTTTTAATTAGCCTCCAGAATTCCCCATTACCCATCTGTCAGGTTATAATACTATGGTGGCTTGTACTTTGTTGTGATGTTGGAAGCTATGTCACCATTATTTTACATACAATCAGAGTCAGCCATGGTGACCTGGTTTCAGTGGAAACCTGAAGATTTCCACTTCTGCATCTGTTGGAAGGGTCTTACCCTTGACCTGAACTTTCTCTGCCACATTCACATAGCCACAAGAAACAGAATCTCCAATCTCACCACAGCAAAAGGAGAAAGGCCCAACAAGATTGCCCAGACTCACCCAAGACATATACAGGTGGGCCCAGACAGTCAGATTTCTTCAGAAGTCTTTTTCTTTTCTTTCAGGAAGTTAAAAAAAGAAAAAAAAAAGATTCTGTATTTATTTCTTCTTAAACTGGGGTGTAAAACTCTCAAATAAGGTTTTAAAATATAATGATGAACACCACAGTGTTGACCAAAGCTTTTTGACTGTTCCCAACTTAAAATTATTGTAAAGAGGCCATTAAACTTATAAAATTGGATAAAAAACAAAGCTCTGCCTAAAAAAGATTACACAGATGCATGACAAAATCCATTCTGACAATGTGCTGAGTGGTAACTGAAGGATAATGGGGTAACAGGTGCCAAACTATGTGATCTCAAATACTTCTTTTTTTCACAATGTGTTCCAGAAGAGAATAGGCCTGTAAGGTCTAGCTCAAAACAAATCTGACCTTTTAGGGACTCTTAGGGAGATGCTCTGGTGGCGTAGTTCCTAAGGCATTTGATTGCTAACCCGAAGGCTGGCGGTTCAAAACCTCCAGCCACTCCTTGAAAGGAAGGCTGGGCAATCTACTTCCGTAGTATACTGCCTCGGAAACCCAAGGAGGGGTCGCTATGAGTCAAATCTGACTCGATGGCAATGAGTTTGAGAGGAGAGATGCTAATAAAGGGCTAAAATTTCCCCAACTTGTTGAAACTGATAAGGGTAAGGTGTGTTAGCTTAGCACACGTTTGAGTAACATATACTAGGATACTACATCAACTTGCAGCACAACTTCCTGTCCACAATGGCAATGAGCAAAATTAGCATTTATCTCTTCAGATACTGATTGATTATAAAGATGTAACTAATAATATATAAAGAGCTAAGTCCCTTCACATCCTTATCCTTCAGGCAATTATTCAAACACTGTCTTTTTAGTACTGAAAGAATCTTTACATCAAATTCATTAGGGAGTCTATGGTAACTATTGATGGTTTAAAATTTAAGTTTTTTTTACTTTCTTAACCTCTTTCTGAATATACAAACAACAAAGCATCCTTAAGTTTAATAAGCACAGAACAACAGATCCTAACCCAAGACCTCAAAAGGGGAAAAAAAAAATGTTGCCATGTAGAGTACAGAATATGAAGATTTCCTAGAGGATGTGAGAATAATAATGTCTAAAGCCAAAACATTACAGCTGAACTAACAGCATTCTAAAGAACTAATATCAGCAGATTCAGGGTCTAAAATCTGCAAACATTAAGAGACATTTAATTTTTTTAAAAACATACATGATTCATTTATAGACCATCACTCAAAGATACTCAACGCCTCATTCTTAATGAAATCTTTTAGAATAAAAGGCACACATTATACCTCTTATTTGTAAATATAGTCAGATAGACAGATAGTCACAGACAACAAGAAGTTACACAAAAAGTCCAATTATGAGTATATACCTACAAAGTATTTATTTAATATGACATGGGAAAAATGAAATGATTGGATCAAAGTTGAATAAAGAAACAGAAAATAAAAAATAAGCACTTGTTAAAACATAACAAAATGTGCATACTTCTAAACTGTATATAGCAAATCAGTGTACTTAAAAGGTAAGAAGAGAATGTTTTTATACTTGAGGTGGATACACTCCTTGGAGAGAACAATCATGGGAGAAAGAAAGGCTGTTTATGCACGGGGAGGTGGTTCAGGGGGCAGGAGTGCATGGAGGGATGGACACAGGGAAGAGGTAACTATTGGGAGGAACTGTGAGGGGAGCTGTTGCATTGGGGTAAATTGTAGTCAATGTCATGAGACAACGTGTGTGAACTGCTGTATGGAAAGTGAATTTTCTCTGTAAACTTTCACTCAAATCACAATTAAAAAAAAAAAAAGAAGAGAATGTTTTATTTGGTGCAATTGTGACAGGAATGTCAAGGATATTTAAAATATTAATTAATGATTCAGTGCCACATAATGAGAAAAGCTCTAGATTTGAAGCCAGCAGATAAGGCCTACACTAATGTGATAAGTAACATAATCTCCTTCATTAGCTTCATCTATAAAATGGAGGAATATAATTACAGGGTTAGTGTGAGCATCAGAAAAGATTATAGATCACTTTCATATTTGTTAGTCATGTTGTTGTTGTTGTTATGTGCCGTCGAGTCGGCCCCGACTCATAGCGACCTCTCCTTGGGTTTCCGAGGCAGTATCACTACGGAAGTAGGATTGCCCAACCTTCCTTCCGAGGAGTGGCTGGTGGGTTTGAACCGCCAGCCCTCTCATAGCAGACTAAGTATCAACATTATTATTCCTTACGTTAGTGGGAAATGCAAAGTCAATTTAGTATGTTATTGCTCTCTATGCAGATTTGAAGGTAATTTCAACCCATTACTTCTAGTGTCAGACCCAGTATCTGTAACGAATGGCAGCAGTCATCTATTTTATATAAATGTGTAAGTAATACATAGACTGAAAATACTTACTTAAACAAAATTTTTATCATTTCAAGTAATGTATTAAACTGTGAGTCATGTCAGCTTCGGGTCTAAGCAAAAAAATGTTCTTAAACTTGTCAGATGCTTCTGAATCTAAATCACTTATGAAGGGGAAGTAATTTATTCCCTAAAAGTTTCTTAGTCCATCTTAGTCTCCTTAATTTTCATCTCCCCTTCTACTGTCTCATCCTTAGAAGAATATTTACCATGCTATTCAATTACAATATAAAAACAAAAAAGCAAAGTGGAAGCAGGGGACAAATTAGTAACGAGGAAAAGTCAAGCAGTTCCATGGTAAAAGAACAAAGGAACAAGTAGGATAAAATGTTTATAAATATATAAACATCGTATTTACATTAGTTGTGGTGTGAATTTCAAGACAACTATGTAGGGTGCTCTGCTTGTTTCGTATTCATGAATATTCTCAGAAATGTGTACTTGGCTCTTACCTTTAGACTTGGGAATTAGCTCTCCACAACTAAGTATCCGTACTTCAGCAAATGGTTTGCTAGCTGCATCCGTTTTCTGGTTTTCTATCTCTCTCACAACTTCCTGGCCAGAGATCACTTGCCCAAAAACAACATGATGCCTACAGAATCAAGTAAAACTAATTAAATACAGGCTTCTCATTTTATCACGAATTTAAAGTAGGTTCTAAAATAAATAAAATCGTATTTACCCATCTAAATGAGGAGTTGGTTTTGTTGTTCTTTTGGAAGCCATCAGAAGAATAAAAATAAAAGAAAAAAACATTAGTATCTCTGAAAAACAAACAAACAAACAAATAAATAACTGCACTGAAAACAAGGATGCAAACAAATAATATGCTATCTTAAGCTAAAGGAATCATAGTATACTAACCGTAAGTATAACAGAATGCAAGATATTTTCAACATCATCTATTTTTTAAAACCTGTTCTGATTATAAAAGTACTCATTGTTGAAAATTTGGATGTAATTAATGTTGACATTTTGGTGTTATTTCTATTCATTCATGCGTCTTACATATGACTGGGATCTTACTGAATATTCATGATTATACCATGTTCCACTATATAGACACACCATAATTTATCAAATCATTAAGTGTTTTTCAATCTTAACATTTTAGACAGTTAACCCATGGGGCATATTCTGATGATTCTAAGACCATATTCTATTGGATCTGAACAAAACTGGTGCATATAGTGTTTATAAAATCATTAAAGAGTTGCCAAATGCTAAAACTGGGGATATTTTTTAATTTAAAAAAGTCCAGATTTCAAACCTCTTTGGAAAACCAGGAAAATATGGCCACAACTGGGAAGATGTGGCAACTGGCATGTGGCAATAACTGACCAGAGCTGAGTAACAAGTGTACCCGTCTTCTTTACTAGTGGGATTAAGAGTTCAGTTGCTTGTCTTGAAGGCTTTACTTGTTAATGTTACATGCCTAGGTCTGTAGGTCTCTGAGTTTGTTACCCTTGATAAAGTAAATTTCACACTGAAGAAAGAGATCTGGATTAAATTCTGTTTTTGCAAAGTGAAAGAATTTTTTAAAATTATTTTTTCCTTCTTTCCCACACCAACCTTAAAGCTATGTAGTTAAACAGGTTGCTATTTGAATACTCACAAAGATAAGACAGTACAATGAGTTGAAGATGGGTACTGTGTAAGATTTATTAAAAAATAAAAAACTTATCAAAAAAGTCATTACAAATTTGGAAGGGACACAATTTAAACTAACCCTTGGTTAAAGCAATACAACACCACACACAAGAACAATTAACCAAATAACCTATGTTTCCTCATAGTACCAGCTATGCTTACATAAACTTACTAAAATCACTTAGAAATGTAAAAACATAGATGTACTCTCTCTACAAGAACATTTGTATTGTATGTGTGTATGTGTATATTAAAAAAACAAAACAAAACAAAACAAAAAAACCACTGCCATCGAGTCAATTCTGACTCGTAGTGATCCCCACTGAGTTTCTAAGGCAGTAACTTTTATGGAAGTAGATTGCCCACTCTTGCTTCCATCGAAGTGGCTGGTGGGTTTGAACCACCAATCTTCTGGTTAGCAGTCAGACACCTTAGGCACTGTGCTACCAGAGCTGAATAGATACATAGATACATACATAGATACATACATATAATTTGTATCTCGATATATCAATTCAACACTAAAATACAACCTTCCTTAAGCCTAAGTTTATACTTACGTATTCTTCAAGGTCCACTTAAATATTTTCTATAGTCAAAATTGTTTAAGTAGGAAGAAACTTTACAATCAATTTTTCCTTCAGTATGGTAATTAAATGGTGTTAATTTAATGGAACACTACCACATGAAGCAATTGATTTACATTTATCTTTAAGCATTAAAATCACATTCAGTGATATTAGCAAGTTGGTAGTGTAAATAGTTCCATGATTCTGTCCCCCAAAAGAAGCACCAAAAAAAAAAAAGAAAAGAAAAGAAAAGGCAGAACAACTTTGTCTGAATGCCAAAAATCAATCAAAGGTTGACAGAAACTAAGAGAATGGTCAAGCAAGGGAAAAGCAACTTCAAAACTGTAGGAAAGCTTTGGTTTTCTACAGGTCTGCGTCCCTCATAGTCTGGCTCTGCAGCGGTCTTAAAAGAACTCAATCTTAAAACAGAAACCCTGGTACCTAGTTCTGGAGGGAGCAGAGCAAACCTTATTAAAAAATTAAAGTGTGTTTTTGTTGTCACCTGCCTGGGGGGCTACTAGAAAGGCTGACACAGAAACTTGACACTATTTGGCCTAACTCAGAAATCAGGACAGAAAAGATGCAGGCATTAACTGAACACTGTCTGCACCAATAGCCGATAAAGGATTTAACTGAGGCATGCATACAATAGATATATAAGGACTGGGAATAAAAACAAGGAAGAGTTTCTTTGGGAAATTAAAGCATTCATAAGTACTTGCATATATACAAGGGGAATGCAGATGCAAGCCAAGGCAACATACAAACTCAGAAAATACCTTAGAAGACCCTATCTCAGACCTTTCATCTCAGTCTGATTTATAGACTCATTGAAAGCCTGGCTAATTGGTGAAGTTCTCTTGCACAGAACCAACACGCAAAGAGTATGAAGTGTGGTTTTCCTTTCCCTGATATTCAAGGAAATCGCTATCAAAACACTAAGTGAGTACTAGAAACGGGTATTTCAGTCTTTGACAAAACAGCTGGAGGAAGTCACTCAACAAAATGGACTACCCCAGCCTTAAACAATCAAAGAAAAAGCACACTTTGGGAACTTGATTTCTAGAGTGATTACATTATAATATTCAAATGGCCAGTTTTTAGCAAACACACACACAACATATACAATCAAACAGGAAAGTATAACTCATTCAAAAGAATAATATAAAGGGAGGAAACCGTTCATGAGGAAGACCTGACAAAAGAATTACTAGACAAAGATTTTAAAGCTACTACATAAAATATGCTCAAAAACAAAGAAGAATGAAGAAAACCAAAATTCATGGAAACAATTAGTCCTAGCGACTGGTACACCATCCGATCTGCAGCCTATACAACTATGAGACCAGAAGAACTAGATGGTGCCCGGCTACCACTGTCATCCACTTGAAAGGGGATCTATATAGGAGATCCTTGATAGAGAGGGAGAACAATGTGGAATAAAACTCAAAATCATTTGGAGAAAAAAAAAAAAAGGGGTGGGACCAGGTTTGCTGGTCTGATAGAGCCTGGTGGAATCACTGAGACTATGGCTCCTAGCTGTCCTTCAGATCTGGAATTGAACACACACCTGTGGTTTCCAACCAAACAAAATACAGGCATATGAGTTGAACATTTACCTCAAGTAGATACACTCCCTGGAGAGAACAATCATGGGAGAAGGAAGGGCTGCTTATGCACAGGGAGACAGCTCAGGAGGCAAGAGTGCATGGAGGGATAGACACAGGGAGGAGGTAACTATGGCGAGGAAGTGGGAGGGGAGGTGTTGCATTGTGGTAAACTGTGGTCAATGTCATGAGACAAAGTATATGTGAACCGCTGTATGGAAAGTGAATTTGCTCTGTAAACCTTCACCCAAATCACTAAATAAATAAATAAAGACGTAAAATATGCTCAAAGAGCTAAAAGAAACCTTGGACAAATAACTGAAGTAAATCAGAAGAACAATGTATGAACAAAATGAGAATGTCAATAAAAAGGAATTTTAAAAGGAACCAAATAGAAATCCTGGAGATGAAAAATATAACAAGTGATATGAGAAAATCACTAGGGGGTTAATTTGAACAGGTTGAAGAATCAGCAAATCTGAACAAAGGACAATTGAAATTTGTGAGTTTTAGAAACAAAAGGAAAAAAAGAAAGAAAAAAGTAAAAAGAGCCTAAGGAATTTGTGGAATGCCATCAAGAAGACCAGAATATGCATTATGGAAACCCCAGAAGAAGAGAGAAAGAGGCACAAAAAATATCTGAAGAATAAGACACAAAATATGCCAAATTTGATGAAAGACATGCAACAATGACCCAAAGAAGGCTAGGGGGACTATATGATCAGATAGAACACTTTAAGTCAGAAACTGTTATAAGAAACAAAAAAGGATATCATATAATGATAAAAGAATCAATTCATTTAGAAAATATAATTGTATGTATGCACCTAACAATAGAGCCCCCAAAGATGATGTAAACACTGACAGAATTTAAGGGCAAGACAGCACTAAAATAACAGTTGGAAACTTCAATAACCATTTTCAATAATGGATAGAACACCTAGACTAAAGAACAAAAAGGAAGTAAGAGAATTTGAACAACAATATAAACCAACTAGACCTACAGACATATACAGATAGAACCCTCCACTCAAGAATAGAAGATACACTACACTGTTCTTCAGTACATATGGATCACTCTCTAGGATAGAACATATATATTAGGTCATGGTAAGTTTTAAGACTGAAATCATAGATCACAATGGAATGAAATTAGAAGTTAGTAACAGAATAAAACTGGAAAATTCTCAAATATATAAAAATTAAACATATTATCAATGAGTCATAGGAGAAATTAGAAAATACTTAGAGATGAATGAAATGAAAATATAACATACTAAAACTTTTAAGATCCAGTAAAAGCTGTGCAGATAGGGAAAGCTGTAGTTGCAAACAACTATTCTGAAAAAGAAAAATTTCAAAGCAAACCTAACTTTACAGCATTTTTGCTCTAGAAAAAGGAGAATAAGCCTAAAAGCAAGCAAGTGAAAAGAAATAATAAAAATGAGCAAAGCTTTAGAAGACAGCATTAATGGTTGCACAACATTTGAATGTAAATAATATTGTGGAATTATACACTTAAAATTGGTTAAAATGGCAAATTTCATGTTATATGTTTTACCATAGTGATAAAAATATTAAAGCAATGATAAATGAAATAAAGAATAGAAGAACAAAGAGAAAGAGTAAAACTAAAAGTTGGTTCTTTCGACAAAATCAATGAAATTGATAAACCTGTAACTAGAGTGACAGGGGAATAAAAGAGAAGACACAAGTAACTGAAACTAGAAAAGAAAGTGAAGATGTTACTACTGACCCTAAAGAGATAAAAAGGATAGTAAGAGACTACTATGAACAACTGTGGGAGTTCTAGTGGCATAGTGCCGAAGGCACTGGACTGCTAACCCAGAAGGCCCACCAACTACTCCTTGGAAGAAAGACTGAGC